TCTCTGAATATTTTCATACATTTATTCTATCATATATGTTCTGTCAAATCAATATGTTTCAGAATGGAGTTATTTATATATTTATGTCAAGTCTGTACAAAAAAATCAGTTACCTTTTTTAAGTTTGCTTAGGTCAGCAATTCAATATAGCATTCAAATATTACATGCATTTTCCCTTGCACTACTAAATGGATCCTCAGTACCATATGTGATAATACGTAAGGAAAGTGAAATGTACTTGCCTTGTTACATTATGTAGGGTGTATCTTGTTAAAAGGTAATCTGGACTACTAAATGTGAAAAAATACAATAAAAATTAGTACTTTTAATGAATGAATAATGGATTATGAGCATAAAAATATTTCAGAGATACTGTTTGTTGACAAGCAACAAATTAGATTTTAAAAGGAGTTAAAACAGAATTTTACCAACTATATATTGGTTTGGACATCAATTCAGATGGCAGGATGTTAGTATAAATTACTTTTCCTTTCAGGAGCCCACTTTTCATCTGAATTAACTTTACTTCCAGTCAGGTATAAAGACTGATTTTCTCAGATGATGGAAGGATAGTCACTGGCAATGACAGGCTGATACCTTACTAGATTACAGCAAAATAACTTTTACCCCAACAGCTTCATGAAATTCTCAGACTAGTTCTTACTGGACTACCCTGAATCATACACTGAATCTCTAATCAGCAACTTTCAGGGGTGGGGAAGACAGTGGTGGGTGAGAAACCTGGGTCATGTTTCCACTCCTGAAGGCATAGGAAGATTATCAACCTTTACCTGAAGCACGTACATTAAGAATAAGAAAATGTCTTTGCCAAAGGAAAAGCAAGACTGTTGCCAGAATAGATTGCATGCTAGCTGAATGAATGAGGTACATGAAGGCAGTTCATGAGTGATTGTGTTTTACTGCAGGTATCTACTATTGTTAGGAATTGCTTTATCAGTGTTAGCTTATAAAACATACATGGCAGATAATATTGTAGCCCAAAACAAAATTGTCCTCACTATGTTAAACTATAGCAGAACTCCTTTTCATCTATTTATAGCTTTATTTAGTAGTTCAGTAATTTTCTTATCATGATGATGAAATGTAATGCCTAGAGATGATCTCATCTCTTCATCACTTAAGCCCACAAAAAATAGGATTCCAATATGGCAAAGGAGTAAGTTTGTTTTAATGTTTATTTTTAATCATAAACATGTCAATGCATTCCTGTTTGATTGTTTTAATACTTACCATTAGAATTCCTAAATAGTTTTTTTTAATTATAAATAGGGACATAGTCAAGGTCCTGATTTTATCCATGAGAAAGTTACTGCTACATGTTGAATATCTTTAATCTGAAAGCTAAAATTCTGAAACCTTTCAAACACTGACATACCACAAGGACACGATTGTATACCTGATCTAATGTGATAGGTTGCCTCAAAAATGGCACATGGAATTTTAAGTAAATTTCTTGTTTAAATTTAGGTCCTGCCCCCCAAGAGATTTCATTGTGTACATGCAAATATTTGAAATCCAAAATAAGTAAATTTGGTATGCAAGCATTTTGGACAAGTGATAGTAGTACAGTTATAGTATCTTTAATCATATCTGATATTTGGTATAAATTTAGAGTACAGAAAATTTACTTTAAAATTATATTATTTAAGCAGATACCTCTATTGAAATTGTTTTACATTGAAAAAAAGAAAACTCTGCTACAGAGAAAACAGTAGCCAAATTAATGGGGTTATTTGGTAGTTGAAAAGTAGGGTACTGGTAGTGCAAAAATATTTGAGACATTTGGGTACATCTGATCATAGCTCTTCTCCTACTTAGAATTTGTGTTTTCTTTATATACTTTCAGGCCAGTTCTACTAAAATATAAATGAAAAACGTTCATAAATGTGTTCTACTGCTACTTTGTAAGCTCTTTAAGGGCAGGAAAATGCCATATAGGGTTTCACCAGCCTCCAATACAGGATCTGGGCCAGTCAGTGAGCATTTATGAATTATTAGATGGATGGAAGCACATACAGATCATAACTCTGAAGGAAAAATCTGATTGATAAATGTTAAGAACATACCTAAGGGCTGGAGATTTAGCTCAATGGCATAAATGCCTGCCTGACAAGCTCAAGGTTGTGAGTTTGATCCCTAGTACTAAAAAAAAAAATAAAAATAAAAAATGAAGAACATACTTTAGTTCTACATATGTTATGCCAGTTACTTTGTATGTTATTGAAGATACAGTAGTTTTCACCCAACTCTTCAGAAATAAAAATGTTTGAATTATGTCGTTCAGTGAATAGACTTCAACAATAAAATTTCATCCACCTATACAGTTAAAATTTGCAACTGATCAATTGTAATGAAAGCACAGAATTGTTCTTTATTAATGCTCTGTGCCTGTACTGAAAAAGAACACTAATATGCTGTTTTATATAATTCTTCGTGTTCCTTTTCTTTTTCCTCCCAAATTCATTTGCCCAGCATCTCTAATCTTCCAGGTTGGTGTCTGACACGTAAAATGTAACTTTATCACTTTGTTTTCTATGCCCTCACACTATTAGTTTTTCTTTTTGTTGAAACTTCTTTTTTAGAGTGTTTCCAGTCTAGATAGACATATTAAATTACTATTAAATGTTCAGATAGATACGGATTTTTTTCTTTCTTCAAGGAAAAGGATAGGTAAATCTTAGAGGATTTTCATGTCCTTATATCATAAATAAAATTTGGATAACATTCTTTGATCAGGCTAAGTGTACATTTAGGAGATTTAGAATTGAATAACTTTATATTTCAGTTTTCTAAGTTCAGTAATAGCATATTAAGACTAGAAATGTAACATGTTATAAATACTAATATATTTTATTCATAACAAGCATTAACAGCCGTTCTCAATTTGTATCATGCCTTTTATTTTATGTGGATAAATTAATCATGGCAACAGAAATTGGGAATAATATCAGTATTTGCTAGAACAGCAATTTTGTTCGGTAGATTTTTTTTTCACATACTATTATTTCAGATAGTTACAACTAAAACCCAGAGGATAAGACTAATTACATAAAGACATCTTTAATATAAAGATAGATGATAATTTATATAATTCTCCAACTCGCAAAGATATGAATTTTCTGAGAGTTTAATGAAAAGTCAGTATACTTTTTATAAACTCTTATTATTTCAGAATTTCTGAATATTTAAAAGCAGAAAAATTATTAAAGAAGTAATTTTTTAAAAGACAAATTAATGTGCAATAATATTTTATACTCAAATCTACAAGTTGTTCATAACATTAAACCTAGAATTTTTCAAAATGAATATTGTAAACATAGTATAAGATTGATATGCAACTTATTGGAGACATTAATAAATCTTTAAATATTTCATAGAAGGTTAGGGGAAATTTTAGCACTATCTATTTCATTTCCTTTTATTATCAGCCTATAGAATAGTTCCTATAATAAACCTTTCATGTGATTTTCTGTCACTGAATTGTCACATATTTCATTACATTATGTTACATTATATAACAAATGGAACAAAATATTAGCGATATAATTTAAAGTCAACTCTTTGGAAAACCTTGTTTAATATATTTTAAGGAAATATGTGAAAGTGCAACAGTTTCCTGGGTCATAAATATTTTTAACACTATTGTAAAAAAAGTTTTGGTTTTGACATAAGTATTTATTAACGAAGCATAAAAATATTTAATAGATACTTAAATTCCTTAAAGTAAAAATTTATCAATATTTTACATGATAGAACATACTGAGATTCTAATTTATCCTTATAATTGGTGTAATATCTAATCATAGTTTAACTTTCTAATTGTAGCTGTTACTTTTTCAGTATTCTCTTCAGTGTTTTGTCAGTGACATGGCAATCACAGGTTTTAATCCATTCATTGAGCCATAAATCATCATTATTTATATCTTTGTGCTACCAAAACATATTTTAAAATATTAATATATATGTGAATTATAGGGTTTATGGAAAATATCACACTTACTTTATAAAACATTTTCACAATACTATTTGTGAGTAAAAAAATAGAACTATTCTGATTGTGGCTGGACATTTCAATATAAATTAACACATGCACTTCATATGGTCACATTAGATCATTATAAATATTCATGTGACTACTGTTTTCAGTGTTCTTTACCAGTACAATAGTGAACTCTAATTTTTTTAAACGTAGCTGTGTCTGCCAAGATAGAAAATTAACCTGCCTTATCAGAACAGTCATTTTGCTAATGTAGATAGACAATTCAAGTAATATAATTCTCAAATAGCCTTAACCTACACAACATTTAAAACATTTAAACATTTAAAATTAATAATTATTTAGGAATTATTTTATGAAGTTAAATGTTGTATATCAGTTTAGTTGAAGAACAAATGCTACAACTTAATTGTATTGATCTTCATCTCTGAAAAGTCATAAAACAATTAAAATATTTGTGAATAACCCAAAAATTACTAGCTCATAAGGAACATGAAATTAATGTTTTGAAAGGATTTAAACTGGAACTTTCCTACTGTTATCTTCATTAACTGCTTTATGATTTTGCACCTTTTATTTCTGTATGCTCTAGAGCAAAGAATTTTTAAAAATTACAGTGGGTGAAGAATCATCAAGAATATTGTGATTTTGAAACTATAAAAATGTTATCACTGATATGTCATGATTTCCTTCTTTTAAACATACAGGTTTCTTATAAATTCTATTGCCATATATAAACTTAAGGAAAAATTTTATTTAGTAATTTTGACTTGAAAATTTCTTTTTTCTTTGGAAATTATAATTTTGCAAGGTAGTTTTTTTTAAAATATGGTAAAAGTCATTTTAAAGTTGTATTTATACTTCAGAAATTATAGTTGAACTAATTTGCAATTTATTATTTTGCTTTTTCTAGGTTAGAAAGTAATATAATGTATGTACGCAAAACAGAAGTATTATTTATATGTATTTTTTTTAATTACAGGTAAAGATTATAGTTCCCAACAGCACAGCAGGTCTGATAATAGGGAAGGGAGGTGCCACTGTGAAGGCTATAATGGAGCAGTCAGGGGCGTGGGTGCAGCTTTCCCAGAAACCCGATGGGATCAACTTGCAAGAGAGGGTTGTTACTGTGAGTGGAGAACCTGAACAAAACCGAAAAGCTGTTGAACTTATCATCCAGAAGATACAAGAGGATCCACAGAGTGGCAGCTGTCTCAATATCAGTTATGCCAATGTGACAGGTCCTGTGGCAAATTCCAATCCAACTGGATCTCCTTATGCAAACACTGCTGAAGTGTTACCGACTGCTGCTGCCGCTGCAGGGCTCTTAGGACACGCTAACCTTGCTGGCGTCGCAGCCTTTCCAGCAGTTTTATCTGGCTTTACAGGCAATGACCTGGTGGCCATCACCTCTGCACTTAATACATTAGCCAGCTATGGATACAATCTCAACACATTAGGGTTAGGTCTCAGCCAAGCAGCAGCAACAGGGGCTTTGGCTGCAGCAGCTGCCAGTGCCAATCCAGCAGCAGCAGCAGCCAATTTGTTGGCCAC